CCAGCCCATCATTAATGCCAGAATTATAGACTCTCCCACAGTCGAGTTAGGCATAGGGAATTGGCGACCGCGGCTCTGATAACATCCACAGACTCAGGCATGATGACAGGCTGCTTCTCCCTTACCTGAAGAGGATGTTATATCAAACTCACGAGCCACCGAAGTACAAAGCTTTCTCATCTGGGGATCATGTTAATGATCTCTCCACAGCCAATTGGTACTCTTTGGACATTGGCACTTATATTAACTGGTTCGTGGTCGGTGTACGCCACGCTGACTCTCCTCTCCTCCCAGAGAACGATGAGACTTCGGCAGACACCACCGTACCGATTCACATCCATCAAGTAGGACTCATCCATAGCCTCTTGGGACATGATTGTCAAATTGAAGCAAGAACTACTGACTATGCTGGTCTGGGCATCATCCCAATTCCAGTGGCTCCAACGTCAACACCTTCTATCTCAGCTCTTATCTAGGGCTGTCACTTCACAGGCCAAGAAAATGTTGATGTCTCAACCTATCTCAGCTCCCACTGTGTTCAACATTCAACCTTGGAAGCTTGGAACGATTCCAAGCTTCTTCAATATCTCTCGCCGCCAAAGTTCACGAATCATTGAAGAGATAACACATTCCCAGAGCTGGCCTGGAAGAAATACATCCCTTCTGGCAAGGAATTTTATCAATCCTTTAAACTCTCAGACTGTTCACAGCAGCAAACCTTTTGTGTTCTTGGTTCCCAAGAAAATTACCACGGAAATGAGAATGATCATCGATCTCAAGATCATACCTCCTCCAAAATTCCAGATAGAATCTCCGATTCGCAGTACACGGATGTTGCTACGAGTTCCATGTGCTCTCCTTGGGATCTTCATTGTATCATGGTTTTTCACCAGAATAGACAGAACGGACACCCCACATCAACCTCTTTGCATACGCCTTCCCTCCATGGTCGCTTCTCGACAGGGGGATTTCAGACCATTGGGACACAGACATTATGCCATCCCTGCACTGGGACCCTCGGTGGACCATCCTGAACGACTTCTCTGCCCCATCAGAGCTCTCAATTCTATCTCGCAGCTATGGATCTCCATGGCTTTCGTCGAAAAAGACTGTTCATCTCCTGCAGACACATTTTGACAAGGATATAACTAAGGCCATGGTAGTGGGCTGGCTCAAGACCATGATAGTATCAGGTTATCATCAGGCCCAAGACACTCCTCCCCTCCTGGGATTATGCGCTGCCCACAAGTCCCACATTAAAGCCTTAGCCACACGTCTGGCTCATGGACCTCTGTCTCCTTCGAACAAGTAGTTTCAAGCTACGAGGGCTGGCTGAAAAGTTCTAAGCCTAACTGTGAAAGACCTGTACCAAGTCAATGGTTTTCATTTATTTCTCCACATAGTCCCCTTCCAGGTTTACACACTTGTGCCAGCGATGCTGCAAGGCCTGGATGTCGGTCAAGAAGAAATTTTCTTCAGCCACCCTGAAAAAGTCATTCACAGCGGAACGACGTCATCATTACCAGGAAAATGGCGACCAGCTGGTTCTTTTTTTTATCTTGGGAAACAGGTGGAAGTCTGACGGGGCCAAATCGGGTGAATAAGGGGGATGGTCAATGAACTCGAGCCACAATCATGGATCCCTGACATGGCAACCACTAGTCAGATTTGTGAACAGGAGCATTGTCTTGGTGGAACAGGACTCCTTTAGTGAGCATTCCCCGTCGCTTAACTTTGATAGCTTCACGCAACTGTCTCAGTAGGTCAGCATAATATCTTCCCTTGATAGTCTGGCCTTTTTCAAGATAGTCAATTAGCAGAATACCCTTGGAATCCCAAAAGACTGAAGCCATCACCTTTCCAGCAGAAGGAACCAACTTGGCTTTTTGGGGGGCTGGTGATTCCAGATGCTTCCACTGTTTAGACTGACTTTTGGTTTCTGGTTGAAAGTGATGAATCCAGGTCTCATCCATGATTACAAATGGATCGGGATCTGCTTCAAAACAGCATAAATTGTCATGGGACGTCAGGAATCTGACACATTTCTGATCCGCTGTCAAGAGCTTTGGCACCCATCTTGCAGAAACTTTTGTCATTCCCAACTCATTGGTGATAATGTGCTCAACCCTCTCAACACTGGCAATATGTCGATGGTCAGTCATCGATCAGCCATCACCATGTCATGCACCCGGGTAATGTTTTCCGGAATGGATGCTGTTGAAGGCCTTCCTGGACGCAGGTCATCGTCAAGACTCTCTTTGCCACGCTTGAATTCCGCAGCCCACTTCTTTACAGTGGAAAAGGAAGTAGAGACCATGTCAGCATGTATCTGTGTTGGAGTTAGCCCTTTCAGTTGCAGGTACATGATGACTGCCCGATAGCCAGTTTTGTCCATTTCTGGTGATTTCAATGGGTAGGTTCACAAGATGGTCTGGTACAAAGACAATAATAACACTACAGTTGCAGTTCTTATGTCTATGATTCATTAAATGATTGTACTTGTTGGTGGCAAAAGTTTGTTTCAATCCGATTGAGATATCCCACTTAAGCTTAGAACTTTTCAGCCAGCCCTTGTATCAGTGGGAATCACTTCCTTTTTTCTTTTGTGACATTCAGCCCGATCTTAAGGGATAATAATCTTCTCATTAGGCCTGGTTGTTGCTGTCCAGACTATTATCAACCAGTAGTTTGTCCTCCCTTCTACACCAGAAAGGGATGGGGTGGGTGGAGGGATGTTGAAGAGTTTCACCGACAGCTTCAGAAGGCAAGTACGCCTTCTTGTTTTGACTAGTGCCCAGGGCAAATCTATTACATCACAGCTAAGTTTACTGCAGGCTTGGTCGTGAAGTCACTTTCAGAAGAGAAATGAGAGCCCGAAAGCGACGTCATTATGACATCATCAGGATAAAAAATGACGTCATAAAAGAGATTAAGGTGATTTAGACCAGATGTGATGTCAGAAATTGGAAGTTAAGACCTAAGAACTGCCGTAAGAATTATACCAAATTATAATATCCAGGTATAGTGATACTTACAATTGAAATATCAGCAATCTAAAGTCCGGGATTCAAACCCACACTGCCAGAGTGAGGCACCTAATCGCCAGCACACTCTGGCAGTGTGTGTTCGAAACACAGATGGGACTCAACACAAAAAAGTACGAGAATCTGTACTTTACTAAGAAGGTGTTATCCCAAAATTAACATTTTTTACATTTGTACTGTTTTCCTAAATGGCATTGTGTGTTCAAAAGTTATCATTAATTATAATTCTAAGATTACTGCCTCTATTACATCAAAAGTACTCCCTTCCACCTCCCCAAGCATCCACATCTAGTAGGCTGATGTTTATTGGTCAAGAAGTGAAGGTTTTTCCGCCTTGTGTACATATATATATTTAGTTGACAGTGATGAGGAACCCAGTTTAAAATCTGAAAGTTATAGTATGGTGTGACTGCAGCCAAAATACAGGATTTGTGGCAATGATGTAATAGAGGTAGTATTCTTAGAATTATTAACAATGATAACTATTGTTCGATAACAGTAATTATTAAGTGACATAGTTGCACAGCTCGTTCAGGATGGCAAACAGTCAAAGTACAATAAATTGGGGGTTAACAATGGGAATCAGCATCTTACAGAAATTGCAATTAAGTGATTCTAGACAAAGACATATCATGGCCACAATTAGCCTTTGTTAATTCAGACAAATGCTATGACAATACAATGTTTGAAAAGTGGACTGACATTGTGGTATAATCTCACTTTGGTTTGGCTGCCCTGGAACTGGCCAGTGTGTAAGGTGAGAAGTGGGACACAGGATCCTTCCGTTCCATGGCCAGTGTGTAAGGTGAGAAGTGGGACACAGGACCTTTCCGTTCCATGGGCAGTGTGTAAGGTGGAAAGTGGGACACAGGACCCTTCCGTTTCCATGGGCAGTGTGTTAGGTGAGAAGTGGGACACAGGACCTTTCCGTTCCATGGCCAGTGTGTAAGGTGAGAAGTGGGACACAGGACCTTTCCGTTCCATGGCCAGTGTGTAAGGTGAGAAGTGGGACACAGGACCTTTCCGTTCCATGGGCAGTGTGTTAGGTGAGGAGTGGGACACAGGACCCTTCAGTTCCATGGGCAGTGTGTTAGGTGAGGAGTGGGACACAGGACCTTTCCGTTCCATGGGCAGTGTGTAAGGTGATGAGTGGGACACAGGACCGATCCGTTCCATGGCCAGTGTGTAAGGTGAGAAGTGGGACACAGGACCCTTCAGTTCCATGGGCAGTGTGTTAGGTGAGGAGTGGGACACAGGACCTTTCCGTTCCATGGGCAGTGTGTAAGGTGATGAGTGGGACACAGGACCGATCCGTTCCATGGCCAGTGTGTAAGGTGAGAAGTGGGACACAGGACCCTTCAGTTCCATGGGCAGTGTGTTAGGTGAGGAGTGGGACACAGGACCGATCCGTTCCATGGGCAGTGTTTTAGATGAGGAGTGGGACACAGGACCGATCCGTTCTATGGCCAGTGTGTAAGGTGAAGAGTGGGACACAGGACCGATCCGTTCCATGGGCAGTGTGTAAGGTGAGGAGTGGGACACAGGACCCTTCCGTTTTATTTGCAGTGTTTTAGATGAGGAGTGGGACACAGGACCCTTCCGTTCAATGGGCAGTGACCACCACACCCTTATTCCCTCCAAGGAAGTGATTTCTGGTGGACTGTGACAGTGCAGTGGCAGTGTATACTGGTATGTTGGACTTGGAAGACACATTGGAGTGGCGTGTTGACATGTTCTGTTGTGTCAAACTCATGGGGACCTGGAAAAAGCACTTCGAGTTTTCCAGCTTTGAGACTATAAACAATATGAATTTCCAAGAAACAAACATCATGTTATGAGAGATGATTACATGTAATCTTGTCATCTTTGTTTTCATTCTACGTTTCAGTGTTGATAACCATATTGTAGCAAAATAATTAAACAGGTATTTTAGAAGATCTAATTGTTTTGTTATAGATATTTTCACAGAGAATTGAAGAGCTACTACAATGGGAGCAAACTCTTATCCATATTTTGCCCAAGTTCCACTTCTGCTCTGCTGAGACTGAAGGAGCATATCTCTCTACACTTGTTTGTGAGCCAGCCACCAGAGGGAGACTATGGTCTGTTTGCCAACATGTAAGTGAAACTCTCTCATACAACCGATCTCACACCTTCAGCATCTGCTCAGTTCATCTCTCCAGAAAGCCATTTGAGCTTAAAGGGGCACTGATCTAAAGCAATTCCCCGGGACTGGTTGTTGCCTTTGTTATTGTCTTTTCCCGTGAGTACCTGGATGGTAAAACAGAAACCTAGACTAGTTCGCGACCTGTGCTGTGCAATTCTTAAGGGCATTTGTTACTTTTATTGATAGTATATGGTCACAATGATCAACAAAATGAAATACAGTTTTGGAAATTATCAGGAAACGTAGGTATCTTTGTGGGTAGCATCGGTAATGGTGACAAAGTTTTGATAAGTCGCTTGCTTGGTAATTTTGCGTTTTTCGTTGACACTATTTTGACTTGCAACACAAAGTAAATATTTCTCCTGACCATTGCTTATTTTATCGTGTTTATATTTTTACAGTAAAAAATTGTACAATTTTCACTTAGAAAATTTATTAAACGCCTGAATATACAGTTATTTTACAGATTGACTGAAAAATATGCCCATCTGTATAATCATTCCAAACATTTTATGTTTAATATCATCACCAAGAGACGGAAAATGTTACGATAAAAAGTAAATTTCTATGTTGTTTGGCTTCTAATCCTACGTAATAATCTGTTGTGATGTTTTTAGGCCCTTTTGATCGTCTTAATCAATTTAAGTCAATCTGGACAGATTTTTCAGTCAAAATGACTGAAATATTTACGCATTTTATATATTGCCTGAGAGAATCACATTTTACAAATTGACGGAAATATATACACGCTTACAAAGGAAAAGACTTGTGAAAACAACGTCTATCTCGCATTGAAGAATTTCCCAACCAAGATGTAGAGGAACAAGAACGAATCGGTTCAATGCTACAGCAAATGAAGGAAAACAAAATGCAAATATCATAATTACAACCTACCAAATTTATGTGCCTAATTTTAGGCAGCTTCCTTGTTCTAGGAATGTACCTGTCAATATCCACACAGAGGAACAATATCCCACACGTCTGCAGCTGTACAAAGAAACATATTCGATGTCACGTGTCTCTGTAACAATCAAATATTTTAAAATATATTTATATCGTTTCGGGATATTATAACCCGTGTTCGTTTCTCAACTGATCACTTAGATTGTTTCAGGTGTTTCACTTAGGTGTCAAGTCTCAATTGTCAGCTGAGAAAGCCCAAGTGACAACTATTTTCATTACGTCCACGGTTCCTAAAAAAATCCACTGAGTTAGATAACAATGAACAATCAATTAACGTATTATCGGTTAACCCTTTGAACAAAGTATGTTGTTTTTACATCGGCACTATACGCCATGATATGAGTGTATTCCCTTTGTTTTAGTAAACCTAGACATGTAAACACTCACTTTTGACATATCCACTGTGCAAGATAACAGTGATTAATCAATCAACATATTTTCTGTTAATCCTTTGATGACTAGGAACCATCCGTTGATTTACAAAAAAAGTAAATCAACAGATCATTCATCTCTTGCTGGGCTGCCACATGTATATTACATAACACACATTTCACCTCACTTCAAACCTGGATTAATTGAATAATTACCCCAGACACAATAAATGCCAAATGGGAACCTTTGTTAGGTAATCTAAGGTTTGCTACCACTAATTATCCCCCGCTAAGAAGTGGAAGGAGGATATAGCAATGGGTGCCTTCCGTCCGTCCGTCACATTTCGTTTCTGGAGCAGATCTTGAAAAACGTACTATATTTCTTCATCAAACTTCGCACATAGATAGGTCTAGTGGTGAACTGGTGCCCTTTGATAGTTTGGGATTTTTCAAAAAATTATTTTTTGAGTTTCCATGGCAACGACTTTGATTTAGACTGAAAATGGCGGTAGTCCTCGTTTCCGGAGCAGATCTTGAAAACGGTACTATATTTCATCACCAAACTTGGCACATAATATCATCTCACAGTATTGAATTCATTTCCTTTCTTGTTGGTAAGTTCTGCATTGCTTGAATGTATGTTCCTTCAAAAGTGTCATGGACACAGTTGTTGCATTCACTGACTAACTTCATGCAGAAACACAACTCATTACAAATACAACAGTGTAACTGATCTTAAACCTACTCATCTGTATAAACACTATATATTCTTGTCAACCATACTCTGTACTTCACTTGCTTGATAACAGTGTCAGAACCTACACCGAAACCATCGCTCCTAATTGTAATAAAGAAGTTGTTCGTCCATATGTCTCATCCTTACTCATTACAAATATAGTTACATATTCTATCATAAACTGCAGATGGAAAAACAACACCAGTAATAACTTTTTTTAGTGCTGCAATTAGGCCATTTACAAAAAGGCCCAGTGAACATAGTTCACAGGAGCTAATGCATTGCACACAACCCGACATGTCATATTGGCAGGGGATGTGAGTATTTCATGCTTGTCGTACCTGTAAAAAATTCATTAACTGAGCATCAAGTGAACGATGACAAATACACAAGTGTAGGGTTATACCAGAAAACGTGGATGACAACAAGGGTGTAGTAATCGTATTATCGACGCAATCCGAAATCCGAAAATGCTTTCACTGCATGGATACTTTTTTTTATTATTAAACTCTAACCATCTGGGGTATTTCCAAATGACGACATCCGATGAGCTCCACCGTTCTTTTTGTCTGTTTGTTTAGGCTGAAGAAATTAATTAACATGCGCCCTTTGTGCAAATCTTTATAGATCGCGGTTAATCAATCAGTGTTCAAAAATGAGTAAAACAAATATTGCCTCCAAGTTTATTTAGCTGTCCCTGCAGACAGTAGCCCAGTCTCTTGTCAAGCTCAGTTGTGTTGCATATCATCTGGGTACTCACGGGGAAAAAACAATAACGAAGGCATCAACCAGTCCTGGGGAATTGCTTTAGATCAGTGCCCCTTTAGGACACCCTGTAAATATTTTGTATTCACATTCTGCAATATTGACAGTAGCGGATGACATCGCCTAGGTGAACACAACCAAGCTGCTGACTGTCGTTCATTTCCCGATGAACGTCAGTATGTCACATGATTACGTTGTCAATTGATCGGGGACATACAGAACTACATTACCGGAATTCCTCAATCATTCCTTTGCGCATCATGGAATTTGCTCACGTGAGGCACTGTCTTCATCAGCTGATGAACGTCACCATATACAACTTCAACCCTTAATTGAGCATATGTTTTCCCAAACTGAAAGTGATGTCATTCCAGCATAAGTTGCATATTACTTTGTTAGTAATGTAGCTACAGGAATTTCACTTTCTATTTCCAAATTGAACAGACTTGTATTCTTGACACTTGATCAAGTTGGCTTTGCTCACTCCGTCTTGGGGAGGAAGATCCTCTCCTCTCTGCCCTGGTGCTATTTAACAATCAGCTGCACTACATCATGGATTATGTTTGGCAAGGGAAAACAGACCAATTCCAACCATCAGTCTGGCGGCGTCAGCATACAAGCACCCTGTCACACACGTCATGACAGACTTTTATGCTCAGTGCGAGCACTAAAGTATTGCCTCACAGCAATGTAAGACCATCGGCGCCAAAGAAAACATGAGGGAGGGAGGGAGGGAGGTAAATGGATCCGGAGAAATCAAACAGAAGTCACACATAATCACAACTGGAAGTGATGCCACAGACGTAAAGTGATGTCATGTGACTGGACGTGACATCATGAAGATGCCAAATATCACAGGTGAGGTGAGGTGAAATGGGGTTTAACGTCGCGTCCAAGATTATTGCACTTATATAGCGACGTGCATGCACGTGTATGTGTGTGTGCGGCTGCTTGTACTAGTCCGGACTGATGCCGATTTATAGTGCTAGCCCACTGAGATACCATGCCGCAGTTTAACATGAATACCCCACTCAGACACAGTATACTTGCTGCGAGCCGACCAGTCCTTGTTTTAGCCCCTTAATGCCGAGCGCAAGACAGGGTAACAACAAGTACCATCTTTTAACATCTTTTGGTATGACGCGGCTGGGGATTGAACCCCAGACCTTCTGCTCTTCTACCATTAGACCACGGAGGCGGTCCAAATATCACAGTGTATACAGTGAAGGTATAAAGGTTTTGTGCATTTTTTAAACGTTTCTATGTATTATTATCATCATAACTGTCAGCTATCCTGTATAATTCCAAGAATGCTGCCTCTATTACATTAGGAATTAATCCCTCCTGCCTTCCCCAAATATCTGCATCTAGTGCATACCCTAGCCCTCGTAATACCACTTGTATAGATTAACAGTTGCTCACAATGCATAAGGCATTAGCCCTAGTAAACCCACTTGTATACACTAGCAGTACCACAATGCATAAGGCATTAGCCCTAGTAAAACCACTTGTAGACACCAACAGTACTCCAATGCATAAGGCTTTGGCCCTAGTAATACCACTTGTATACACTAACAGTACCACAATGCATAAGGCATTAGCCCTAGTAAAACCACTTTTATACACTAGCAGTACCACAATGCATAAGGCATTAGCCCTAGTAAAACCACTTCTATACACTAGCAGTACCACAATGCATAAGGCATTAGCCCTACTAATACCACTTGTATACATTAACAGTACCACAATGCATAAGGCAATAGCCCTAGTAATACCACTTGTATACATTAACAGTACCACAATGCATAAGGCATTAGCCCTAGTAATACCACTTGTATACATTAACAGTACCACAATGCATAAGGCATTAGCCCTAGTAATACCACTTGTATACACCAACAGTGCCATAAGGCATTAGCCCTAGTAATACCACTTTTATACACTAGCAGTACCACAATGCATAAGGCATTAGCCCAAGAAAACCACTTGTATACACTAGCAGTACCACAATGCATAAGGCATTAGCCCTACTAATACCACTTGTATACATTAACAGTACCACAATGCATAAGGCATTAGCCCTAGTAATACCACTTGTATACATTAACAGTACCAC